GGCGGAAGGTTCTTGAGAAGAAGCGCTACCTCATCCTTTTATTGTTATTTTATACTTTTGGCTGGTGTTCCTGCTTGCAAGGTGGTCTTATGTCTAACTGGCTAGAGCTTTGGTCTTTGGTCCCACAGGCTCCAACTTCGAATGCTTGTGAGTGGTTCGGAATCTACGTTAAACTATAAGCTCCGGTCTAATTAGCCTAAAGTGCGCAAAAAACGGCCATAGAGCGACGAACGCAAATCCTAGTTGGGAAGGTAGTAGACCCATCTTTCTTTATCTCCTATTTTTTTATTCATAATGCTTAGCGTTGCCATAGAAATAGACGACATACTTTACTGTCTTAATAGACACTTATTCAACATAATCCCAACCCTATCGGACAGCTAGATATATTATTTAATGACAAATCACCCATTGATTCAGGACGTTTCTTCAAACCATCATTAAATGATAATTCCTCGCATTTGAATGAAGAAAAAAAGTCTCTCTTTCGAAAACAAAGTCGTCTGAGTAAGAACGGCGGAAGGCCCTTTAGAAGAAGCGACATCGGCCAAAGTAACATTTTTACCATTATCGAAGTCAGGCAATTTTCCGAAGCGTTGACGATCCCGAAATGATCCCATCCAGGCACAGATATACATGGAAAGTGGGCGGGACATCATTCCGAAGATCGATCTCCATTACCCCGACCCGAACTCGAACCACCGACATGGAAGGGGGTTGGGCATTTTTAATGCCTTCTTTCAATGCACCGTGCCGTGTCTCAATCACTATTCTGTCGATAGTATGAGGAGAAAAACAATATCTTCCGTCGCATAATACTTTGTTTCTTGCTTGCATTTTCTTTTTTGTATTGATTAGCGTGTTTACTTCCCAATCCCTGCGTCGTTTTTCTCCTCTGCTTTGGCGATATTAATATTTATGAGATTAGATACGGAAGAGATTGGGTGATTTGGAATATGGGGGAAGGGGAGCTTAAGAGAGTCATTTTTTATTTTGTTTCCAATGTTAAATGTATAAGTATTTATTATGAAGGGTTTTTTTTTTGTATATTGATATAGATTTATGTGTGAATGGTATTTGTTGAAGCAAGTCATTTTTCTTTAAATTTAAGAATTTGCGCGAGCTAATTTGCGTAACGTTAAAAAGGGTATTCATTTGATTGTTTAAATTAAACAAGGCGCTTTCATATCTTGGCAGTGGCATGGATGTTTGTTAGTGGTTCGGAATTGGGGTCTGAATGGCCGAGTATCTAGCGCTCGGTGCCGCAGGTTTCGACTTCGAGTCGGGGCTGTTCCATGTATGTTTGTAGTGGTTCGGAATCCACTTTAAACCGTATTTGCCTGTCTCAAATGACTGTAAGCGCGTCACTGATCCCAGTCGGACTCCTCTTACCCACATCATTTCCCAAATTATAAAGGGGCAACTCAGCTCTAGGCACAATGATGTGATGTGGTCTCGTAGTAGTGGTTTGTAATCCACTTTAAACTGTAGGTTAATTAGGCCAAAACACGGTCTAATTAGCTTAAAGTGTACAAAAAAAGACGAACTGAAATCCTGGTAGCGAGAGTAGCAGAATCATTCTTCTTTATGCCAGCTTCCTTCATCCAGAAAACCATCATAATTCCAAATGCATTGGCAAAGGAAAGAAATCATTCCTTATTGTCTAATAGACATTTAATCAACATAATCCCGACCATTTTGGACAGTCGGATATACAAAGTCCAGTCACATTAATGTGACCACCCCCTACTTTCGACGTCAACGTGAAATAACCAATCACAAAATTCAGGTGGCAGCACATTGCAATGGAGTGTATAGAAAGAATGTCCTAGACCATCCTTTATATACTTATGCTAAATCCTTACTAATCCTATATCCTATTTATACTTATGGAGTATTAAAAGCTTATGGTTTTTGACAGGAAGTCACATTAGAGAGTTTTTGCATACCGTACGTTAGTTACCGTAGGACGTCCGTTAGCTTTTTCTCCCTAGCGCGCATGCTCATAGGAAACTGCGCATGCGTATCTGTAATAATATTTCCTATGAGCATGCGCGCTAGAGAGAAAAAGCTAACGGACGTCCTACGGTAACTAACGTACGGTATGCAAAAACTTTCTATTAATGTGACTGGACTGTGTATTATTTAATGACAAATCACCCACTCGCTACCATTAAATCTAGGATATTTCTTCAACGATCATTAAGTGATAATTTCTTACATTTAAATGAAAAAAAGGCCCCCTTTTCGATTGAGGTCCTCCGGGTAAGATTGGTGGAAGGCCCTTTAGAAGAAGCGACATCGGGCAAATTTGCCATTATTGACAGGCAATTTTCAGTCAGGCAATTTTCCGTCGCGTTGACTATCCGGAATGGATCCCCTCCAGGCGTATATATATGGAAAGTCGGTGGGACATCCTTCCGAAGATCGATCTCCATTACCCCGACTCGAACTCGAACCCCCGACATGGAAGTGGGTTGGGCATTTTTAATGCGTTCGTTCAATGCACCGTGCCGTGTGTTAATCACGATTGTGTCGATAGTATGAGTAGAAAAACAATATCTTCCGTCGACTCTCATTTTTTGTTTCTTGCTTGCATTTCCTTTTTTGTATTGATTAACGTGTTTGCTTCCCAATCCTTGCGTCGCTTTTCTCCTCGGCTCTGGCGATATCAATATTTATGAGATTAGATACGGAAGAGATTGGGTGATTTGGAATATGGGGGAAGCTGAGCTTAGAAGAGTCATTTTTTTATTTTGTTTCCAAGGTTAAATGTGTGAGTATTTATTATGAAGATTTTTTTTTGTATGTTGATTAGGATTTATGCTTGGATGGGATTTGCTGAAGCAAGAAATGTTTCTTTAAATTTAAGAATTTCTGTGAGCTATTCTGCATGAATAAAATTGAAAATGGTATTCATTTGATTGCTTAAATTAAACAAGGCGCTTTGCATATCTGGACGGTGGCATGGATGTTTATTAGTGGTTCGAAATCAGAGCCTGAATGGCCGAGTGTCTAGCTCTCGGTGCCACAGGTTTCGAGTTCGAGTCGGGGCTGTTCCATGCCTGTTTGTAGCGGTTCAGAATCCCCTTTAAGCCGTAGATGCTGGTCTCAAATGACTGTAAGAGCGTCACGGAGCCCAGTAAGACTTCTCTCACCCACATCATTACCCAAACTGTAAATGGGCAGCTCAGCTCTAGGCATAGTGATGTGGCGTGGCCTTTTTAATGTCTTTGGTCAATGCACCGTGCCGTGTCTTAATCGCGATTCTGTCGATAGTATGAGGAGAAAAACAATATCTTCCCATCGCATCTTTTTATGTTTGTTGCTTGCCTTTTTTTTTGTATTGATTAACGTGTTTACTTCCCAATCCCTGCGTCGCTTTTCTCCTCGGCTCTGGCGATGTCAATATTTATGAGATTAGGCAGGGAAGAGATCGGGTGATTTGGAATAGGGGGAAGGTGAGCTTAGAAGGGCCATTTTGTTGTTTGTTTCTCAAGGTTAAATGTATAAGTATTTATTTAGAGGTGTTTTTTTGTATAGTAATGAGGATGTTTTTGTGGATGGGATTTGCTGAAGGGAGTCATGCTTCTTTGAATCTAAATATTTGTGCGTAGCTATTTTGCGTAAAGTTGGAAATGGTATTATTGATTTGGTTTTTTTAAATTAATCTATGTAAACTGCGTATGTTTCTTTTGAATTAAAATTCTGTTGGATTAGCAGGAACGTAATTTCGGTTTTCATCACTTAAGTACATGGTAAAAAACAAACGAATTTTCTTGAAAATCAATAGTAATGCTGTAATTTTTCTTTTGTATATTTTCATAGTATCTTATTGTTAAATATTTAAAAAATATTTCCTTCGTCGAAGAATCTTTTATATATATATTGCAAAAGGTCTGTTCCAATTCAGGTACGTAAGAAAAATGTAAAACTGGCAATTTCAGAAAGTCTAATGCAATTTGTTACTTTTTTAAACTAAAGGCAATTTTTGTTTTATATTTGGTGATTTTTTTTTTATGTATGGTTTGGGTTGTCGTTCTCCAGTCATTTTGTGCGCACTTTCGACTCATTAGACCGGTACCTACAATTTAACGTGGATTCCGAACCCCCAGCAAACATCTATACCGTAGTCAGGATTCGAATATGAAGCCCATGGTATGAATGACTACAGTGATAGCCAATTGCTTATCAGACCGCCTTTCCTTATGTAAGACAATTTAAATTGCTTAAATAAGGGCAATTACTTTCTTTATTAAGAAAATTAGACCAATTCAGTTTTCCTCTGGAGTTATACTTTATTAATGCACATTGGTAAGTCCCATGTCCCACTTATGTATATCACAAAAATACTCGACAAGAGATTTAAGAAAAACCTTACCTTCCCAGAGGACTTTTAGGGTAACTGCCCCGCATTTTGTATGATAGAAACACCAGATAACAGGCAGCTTGACTATCGATGCTGTATAAGTAATCACCTTCAGGTATACTACAACGTCACTAACAGATTCGAACCTCCTCAGACTCCTATACGCTAGTCCCATATTACACAGAATAAGGACATTCTGGGTGACATTGACTAGCCCCATATGTAGACACTCAGCCACGAGTTGGGTTTGGAGAAGATTTCAGTTTTGAAAGTTGGAGGTAGGGCGACAAGTTTCGAAACACAACAATTAAATTGAACATAAAGTTTCTGTGAATTATGTTGTTTGTTGTTTCTTATCCCACTTGGCTGGCCAAGCCCACGAGCCCATACGTACTCATGAATGAAGGGGAAGAAATCAGCTTCTGTTGTGGTGGAGCACCCGTAGGTAGATGTCTGACGTTGGCTCCGTGACGCTCTTACAGTCAGAGGAGACCGGGACCTACGGCTTAAAGTGGATTCCGAACCACTACAAACATCCATGGCACCGCCGGGATTCGAACCCGAAACCTGTGGCACTGAGCGCCAGAGCGCTAGACACTCGCCCATTCAGGTCCCAAATTTGTGAATGCGAACGGCACGCGGTGTTCCCAGGTGGTCACCCACCCAAGTACTGACCGCGCCCAATGATGCTTGACTTCGGTGATCTAACGAGAACCGGTATATTCATAATGGTATGGCCGTTGGCAAATGGAATGGTTGAATTATGGCTGATATATATACACGTTATGTTTGTAGGACGGAAAAAAACCTTCCATTGGGTTTGAAGAAATAATCACAATTCAGATGATGTTCTTTCTGAATTGCGGTGTCATAAGAGATTACCAATAATGCACAAAAACATAAAGGCGCAAAATTACTTAGAGAAATCATAAAATCAAGTATCGGTAATTATGCAGCCGGCATATATACGTCAGAAAGAAAAATTAACAATATAACACATGTCATGGATTATTGAATATTCAGCTATACTATTTGTATGAATTATAATACACGTGCCTGACTCGTGGCTCAGTGGCAACGCGTGCCGCTCATGACCATTAGGGCTGAGGTTCAATAGCTGGCGGCTTTGTTGTAAGCACAGTTTCGGAAAACAAGGAGGCTCGTTGACATTTGTGATGTTCAGCATCTCCCGGACTGAAGCCGGGCAAGAAGCCGCGTGATGTTCGCCGGACAACCTGGTGGGTGTTTTCTGGTTTTCTCTCATGCGATAAGAAAATGTGGGGTAGTTCCCTCTAAAAAAGTTCTTCCGAAATTAACTGCCCTTCTTCTTCAATGACTCGGTGCCAAATCCGACTTCTACCTACGGGTCTCCTCCACAACTGAAGCTGCCCCTTTTTCACTCCATCCATGAATAGTACTAATGCGGTGTCCGTCCCTCACTATAGGACACTGAGGATTAGACATAAAATAATACACGTATTTTTCATATCCGAATCCATAATATTGATAGACTAGAAATTTAAATAGGTATATTTCATGTATATGGACATTTTCGGAATAAAATTGCCAAAGATATTAGAGGTTTGGTTTGGTTTGTCTCTCTACAGTCATTTATTGCACACTTTAGGCTAATTTGACCGCGACCTACAGTTTAAAATGGATTCCGAATCACTCACAAACATCCATGCCACTCCCAGGATTCAAACCTTAAGTCTGTTATACCGATGGCCAGAGTGCTAGCCAATTGGCCATCAGACCGCAAGAAAGGGGAGCATATATCCTGGCACCCAGCCAGAAATCTGTGGTTTGATTCAATGATAATAATGTGATCAGTGGATCAAATCCCTATAGAATTCAACATAGACAGTGACAAAAATTCCATTCGAAAAAATGATGAATGGAAAGGATGAATGGCAAGAGTGATTACATAGATAGCATTGAATCTTGAGATTACTTCAGAGAAATGTGAACAAGAGAAAAACTGCGTCTTTTTATTTTATAGCTGGAAACACCAGAGTTGAAAAATAAATTATTCCGAGTTGCATAAAAAAATGTTGTGTTTACGACAAAGGAAACGTATGTAAATCTCTTAACATGACAATCCATTTTTCACAAGGCTTCCATCATGACATGCATTTGACATATGCTGAAGTTAGTCTGCATGTGTAATAGCTTAGATTCGGTATGATGGATGTTTATTATGGTGACAGTCAAACATGAAATGGAATCTCTAAGCTGAAATGAGGATTTCGCTTTAATTTATATATATTGACATAGAATTTATTTTATAGAGGTAATTTATTTTAAAAAAGTAGAGGCATCAAGTTTAAAAACTTAATATAAAAATGTGAAACATAATAATTCAATGCGGTGTTCTGTTTTAATTTTATATTGATCAAAGTCATTGAGGATTATCTTGAAGATCCAAGATAATTATTATTTATTTATTTATAATTATTATTTATAACGTTTATTTATTATCCAAATCATTTGATTTATCAGTTATAAAAATCAGTAAGACATCACAATATTAGTAAAAATAGTTTAAAATTTAACTAAAAAAAAACGGTTTATCGTTGTCCCTTTTTAAATATAATTATCATTATTGATTTAATTGTTAAATTGAAAAATTGACTATCATTGTGAAATTGACGAAAGCAGAGTTGTTAATGACAATTAAAAGTGATACTTTAAAATAAAACTTAAAGTGCAGGTTGGGCAACCATATTGTAACTGGATGTGCTTGGGTTGAGATGTTTGAGAACTCCCAACTTTATTTACACAAGCACATACAATTAGTGGCATACAATATTTAACTCATTTAAAGATATATAATTATAGATTCGGGGAAGGATTCCACTTCTAAGCCGAAACTCAGCTACGCGTAGGGTGCGCGAAATATACTTTCTCTCCGAAAGAGTCTGTAGCCCAAATAATGCTTAGAGTGGGCTAAATATATTTCCTCTCCGGGTGAGAGACTATAAGCCAAACGTTTCTCAGCGAGAGCGCAGGTTACGCTGTACTTCCTCTCATGTGAGTGTCTCGAGGCCAACTGACCGTTTCTTCTGAAAGCCAAAGGGGGCTTTTTTACCCCTTATTTTTGTTAGGAAAATAAAAGGATGGAATAAAACCAAAAAAAAAAAAAAAAAATATTAAATAAAAATTATAAAATGAAAAATCTTATAAAAATACGGTCCTGATTATGGCCTTTTTTTGTGTGGACTAATATATTTACTTTAAAGCTCAATCTTCAACTGCTTTCACCGTTCAGCATAATCCCATGTTTACTTGGTTTAATGAGTTCTTAAAATACTCTGTTTATTTCTAAATATTTTGGCATCGACAACTGGTCCCTAATTGTACTGAATTTAAATTTAATTTTAATTTCATTTATTTTGTATCTTACTTTTATTATTATTAGTATTTTTATCTTTTTTTTTTTTTTTTTTTTTTTTTTTAGTACCATTTAACTTGAATTTTTAGAAACTTTATCTTGTATTTCTACTAACATTAATTAAGCAGCCAATTAAAATTTAAAGCATATTTATGAATTAAGATGAGGAGGTTTAAGGGGTATTTCCCCCTGTTGGTACTCCGTAATCGGTACGCCAGTTGCCAGTTGCCAGTTGCCAAAGGGGTGCTCTCTTGCCAGTATGAAGCAGGGAGCACGGTTACAATTATATATTTCATCATTTTATGCTGCGATTTAAATATTTTCTTTATTCAAATTTTATATTGAAGTTCAATTGAGTATTTTAATTTATATTTAATTTATAATTGAATATTTAAATGTAAAATTGTTATTTTTACATTAAGCTGTTCATTGAAAATATTTTTTTCTAAAAAAAAAAAATTTAAATAATTTACAAAAAAAGATACAAATATAATTAAACAAAATAACAGTGCTCACATAAAATAAGACTTTCAGATAATTTTAAATTTGTCTGTAAAGCATCATTCCACCACCACCATTCTGTGCACAATAAGATAAGGAATTGATTCCTGCCGTATGTGCACGGCTTCAGAAAATAAAACTTATGAACTTTTTTATATCAAAGAAATAGCTTGGTAAACATACTCACTAATACACTGTCAGAAAGCTTTTCTATAAAATTCGAAATTCTAATATAAAAACCCATTAAAAATAATCTTAATCTCTCCGTTATTGTTATTTTATACTTTTGGTTTTCCCTCCTGTTTGCAAGGCGGTCTGATGTTCAACTGGCTGGAGCTTTGGGCTTTGGTCCCACAGGCTCCAGCTTCGAATGTGTGTGTGTGGTTCGGAATCCAAGTTAAACTATAAGAGCCTCTTAATTAGCCTGAAGTGTGCAAAAAATGGCCGTAGAGCAACGAACCCAAACTCAGTAGCGAGAGTAGTAGAATCATCCTTCTTTATGCCCACTTTTTTAATTTCAAATGCATTGCCAAAGGAATGGAAGTCATTCCTTATCGTCTTAATAGACATTTAATCAACATAATCCCAGCCATTTTGGACATCCACATATATCATTTAATGACAAACCACCCACTCGCTACCATTAAATCCTGAACATTTCTTCAACGATCATTAAGTGATAATTCCTCGTATTTGAATGAAGGACAATAAAGTATCCCTTTTCGAACGATGTCCTCCGAGTAAGAACGGCGGAAGGCCCTTTAGAAGAAACGACATCAGGCAAATTAACCTTTTTGCCATTATTGAAGTCAGGCAATTTTCCGACGCGTTGACGATATATAGAATTATTCCCATCCAGGCAGATATACATATATGGAAAATCGGTGGGACGTCATTCCGAAGATCGATCTACATTATCCCGACCCGAACTCGAACCCCCGACATGGAAGGGGGTTGGGCATTTTTAATGCCTTCGGTCAATGCACCGTGCCGTGTCTTAATCACGATTCTGTCGATAGTATGAGGAGAAAAACAATATCTTCCGTCGCCTCTCATTTTTTTGTTTCTTGCTTGCATTTTCTTTTTTGTTTTGATTAACGTGTTTCTTCCCAATCCTCGCGTCGTTTTTCTCTTCGGCTTTGGCGATATCAATATTTATGAGATTTGGTATGGAAGAGATCGGGTGATTTGGAATATGGGGGGGAGGTGAGCTTATTTGTAGGAGGTGTTTTATTTGTTTCCAAGGTTAAATGTGTAAGTATTTATTTCGAGGGTTGTTTTTTTTTTTGTATATCAATGTTGAATTTATTTGTGAATGGGATTTTCTACTGAAGCAAATAATGTTTCTTTAAAATTAAGAATTTCGCGTGCGTGTTTTGCGTAAAGTTGAAAATGGTATTCATTTGTTTGTTTAAATTAAGCAATGCACTTTGCATATGTTGTTTTCGAATTAAAATTCTGATGCATTAGCAGGGAAGTAATTCAGTTTTTCGCCCTTTATATACGTGGTACGCCATTTTAGTACGTGGTATATAGTATTCAGAATCGCATCTTGGCGGTGGCATGGACGTTTGTCAGTGGTTCGGAATTGGGGTTCTGAATGACCTAGTGTCTAACTTTTGGGACCACAAATTTCGAATTCGAGTCGTGGTTGCTCCATGCATGTTTGTAGTGGTTCAGAATTCACTTTAAGTTGTAGTCTCGAATGACTGTAAGAGCGTCGCGGAGAACAGTTAGACTTCTCTCACCCACATCATTCCCAAATTAATGTGGTGTAAAGGAGCAACTCAGCTCTACGCAGAGTGATGTGGTGTTGGTGGTGTGGTGTATGGTTGGTGGTGTTTTGT